AACCATAGTATTTTTCTCATATATATATATATATATATATATATATATATATATATATATATATATATATATATATATATTTTAGGGGTGTAACGGTAAACAAATATGACCATTCGGTACGTACCTTCGGTTTTAACGTCACGGTTTGGTATGATTTCGGTACAGCAGGGGGAAAAACTTTTTTTTTTAAATGGTTTACTGAACAAGTTGCTCTTTCTTTAAATACATTCAGTTATAGTTTAAATGTTCTTAGTGATAAAAATCTACCTCAGCTTATGCTTAAAACTATAGGGATTCCTTTTACATTATAAGGTTACAATTAGGCCTAACAACTTAACCCAAACTTAAATTGAATTACTATTTATTTTTAAATAGATGATTAACACTCAACTTTAAAAAATAAATAAATTGTATGCAAACATGTAAACTGCACACAATGCAGTTTTTAAATTAATTTATAAATAATAACATTTCTAAGCTATTTGTTAAAATATATTCAATTACACAATGGCTGTCATAGCATGTTTCATAACAAATTAATTTAAACATACTGTACATTAAATAATTAAGACGGGTTTAGTCAAATATAATGAGAATATGGTGTAATATTTCGCAAAATGCTTCTCTCTAGTCTTCATTTCTCTAGTGAACTAACCAGCTGTGGACACTGATGACTTGCTGAGGTAAATTAAATGCTACGTGACATTTTATTTCCATGCTGTATTGTTGATGTCTTTCCGCGGTTGAAACACTGATTGAGCAATTACATGAGACATGAGATGTTTATTCGCGTTAAAACTAGTAGTACAGAGGAAGGAATGACCGCGTTCACTCGCGCTCCACTCTGCACAAATCTGCGGGGCGTCACGGCTCAGACAGGGGAACTGGAGCTGATCGCGGCCGCTCTAGTCAGTGCTTGTGTTGGGATTATACCAGCACGATTCTCAACCGTCCCAGAAGCGGCTCTCCAAGGCGTTTATACAGCGATCTGTCATGCCACATCAAAGACTGTCAAAATGCCATTTATTATTTGAATTTCCGGAGAAAAATAAAAAACTATTCGTTCGGTTCACATGCGTACCGAACCGAAAGACCCGTACCGAAATGGTTCGGTACGAATACGTGTACCGTTACACCCCTAATATATATATATATATATATATATATATATATA